TGGCCCCAGAGGCTGACACATAGCGGCCCATCCCCTGCTCCTCCAGCCACATCTCCAGGAGTTAGGGCGCGGAGCTCGGTGGGCAGCACTGCCCCGCCCTTCGGCAGCGTCTCCAGCCCTGGGCAGCGGAGCATCAGGTCGTCATGTGGACGCTGGCAGCCCTCCTGCTGCTGGGTGAGTCCGCAGGGAGCAGGGGACATGGGAGTGTGAGGAGAACGTGTGTGTTTGTGTGTGTGTGTTTGTGTGCGGAGAGAGTCTGTGTGTGTGTGTGGGGAGAGCGTGTGTGTGTGTGGGGGGAGGGCGTGTGTGTGTGTGTGGGGGGAGAGCATGTGTGTGTGTGTGGAGTGTGTGTGAGTGTGTGTGGAGTGTGTGTGTGTGGGGAGAGCGTGTGTGTGTGTGGGGGGAGGGCGTGTGTGTGTGTGTGGGGGGAGAGCATGTGTGTGTGTGTGGAGTGTGTGTGAGTGTGTGTGGAGTGTGTGTGTGTGGGGAGAGCGTGTGTGTGTGTGGGGGGAGGGCGTGTGTGTGTGTGTGGGGGGAGAGCATGTGTGTGTGTGTGGAGTGTGTGTGAGTGTGTGTGGAGTGTGTGTGTGTGGGGAGAGCGTGTGTGTGTGTGGGGGGAGGGCGTGTGTGTGTGTGTGGGGGGAGAGCATGTGTGTGTGTGTGGAGTGTGTGTGAGTGTGTGTGGAGTGTGTGTGTGTGGGGAGAGCGTGTGTGTGTGTGGGGGGAGGGCGTGTGTGTGTGTGTGGGGGGAGAGCATGTGTGTGTGTGTGGAGTGTGTGTGAGTGTGTGTGGAGTGTGTGTGTGTGGGGAGAGCGTGTGTGTGTGTGGGGGGAGGGCGTGTGTGTGTGTGTGGGGGGAGAGCATGTGTGTGTGTGTGGAGTGTGTGTGAGTGTGTGTGGAGTGTGTGTGTGTGGGGAGAGCGTGTGTGTGTGTGGGGGGAGGGCGTGTGTGTGTGTGTGGGGGGAGAGCATGTGTGTGTGTGTGGAGTGTGTGTGAGTGTGTGTGGAGTGTGTGTGTGTGGGGAGAGCGTGTGTGTGTGTGGGGGGAGGGCGTGTGTGTGTGTGTGGGGGGAGAGCATGTGTGTGTGTGTGGAGTGTGTGTGAGTGTGTGTGGAGTGTGTGTGTGTGGGGAGAGCGTGTGTGTGTGTGGGGGGAGGGCGTGTGTGTGTGTGTGGGGGGAGAGCATGTGTGTGTGTGTGGAGTGTGTGTGAGTGTGTGTGGAGTGTGTGTGTGTGGGGAGAGCGTGTGTGTGTGTGGGGGGAGGGCGTGTGTGTGTGTGTGGGGGGAGAGCATGTGTGTGTGTGTGGAGTGTGTGTGAGTGTGTGTGGAGTGTGTGTGTGTGGGGAGAGCGTGTGTGTGTGTGGGGGGAGGGCGTGTGTGTGTGTGTGGGGGGAGAGCATGTGTGTGTGTGTGGAGTGTGTGTGAGTGTGTGTGGAGTGTGTGTGTGTGGGGAGAGCGTGTGTGTGTGTGGGGGGAGGGCGTGTGTGTGTGTGTGGGGGGAGAGCATGTGTGTGTGTGTGGAGTGTGTGTGAGTGTGTGTGGAGTGTGTGTGTGTGGGGAGAGCGTGTGTGTGTGTGGGGGGAGGGCGTGTGTGTGTGTGTGGGGGGAGAGCATGTGTGTGTGTGTGGAGTGTGTGTGAGTGTGTGTGGAGTGTGTGTGTGTGGGGAGAGCGTGTGTGTGTGTGGGGGGAGGGCGTGTGTGTGTGTGTGGGGGGAGAGCATGTGTGTGTGTGTGGAGTGTGTGTGAGTGTGTGTGGAGTGTGTGTGTGTGGGGAGAGCGTGTGTGTGTGTGGGGGGAGGGCGTGTGTGTGTGTGTGGGGGGAGAGCATGTGTGTGTGTGTGGAGTGTGTGTGAGTGTGTGTGGAGTGTGTGTGTGTGGGGAGAGCGTGTGTGTGTGTGGGGGGAGGGCGTGTGTGTGTGTGTGGGGGGAGAGCATGTGTGTGTGTGTGGAGTGTGTGTGAGTGTGTGTGGAGTGTGTGTGTGTGGGGAGAGCGTGTGTGTGTGTGGGGGGAGGGCGTGTGTGTGTGTGTGGGGGGAGAGCATGTGTGTGTGTGTGGAGTGTGTGTGAGTGTGTGTGGAGTGTGTGTGTGTGGGGAGAGCGTGTGTGTGTGTGGGGGGAGGGCGTGTGTGTGTGTGTGGGGGGAGAGCATGTGTGTGTGTGTGGAGTGTGTGTGAGTGTGTGTGGAGTGTGTGTGTGTGGGGAGAGCGTGTGTGTGTGTGGGGGGAGGGCGTGTGTGTGTGTGTGGGGGGAGAGCGTATGTGTGTGTGTGTGTGAGGGGGGGGAGAGCGTATGTGTGTGTGTGTTTTAAGCTTTCCCGAACAAT